ATGTAGTTGGGCATAACATCTACGAACCCAATCTTTTGCGTAGTTCCTGGCCCTTCGCTCTTCAGATTTAGCACGCTGGTTCTCATCATGTGTCGACATCGCTGCACAAAAAAGTTTCAGGCTTAATGTAAGCTCACAAAAAATTTGAAAATAGTAGGTTTTGAAGATTTTTGGGAGTCAAATCCATTCTAGAAACTTTTGAGTCATTCTTCCGCAGTTTACCTTGTTAAAAAGAAACGTACACTCACCTTGGATGACTTTCGCAATTTCAGTGATACACAAGATCCCAAAATGAGATCTACCATGGAAGTCACTCCTTTTATACATTTTCGTATCATATCATTCGATTGGATAAGATAGGGCACAACAGTGGGTTGGATAAGGTACGACAGTGGATTGGATAAGATAAGGTATGCCAAATCAAACCAGATATGATAAGGATTGATATGATAAGGATCATTTGCTCTAATCAGTGTCTTGTCATCCCACGGTTTTTCGTATGCTCGCTGACTGTCAGAATCTGCAGTCATATGGGCCAAAGGGCTATTCAAAACGTTTCGAATGATTTCCTTCGCTTTCTGAATAGCATTCACAAATATGTAACCAAAATGATAAAGAAGTAACCTCCGATCCTGTGGCCCTTAGCTCTTTCCTGCAATTCCTACAAGGTCCAGCAGTAACTGACATGGCTTAGTCGATTCTTTCTCAGGTCAGAAACGCTCGGTATAGGTCTTGAGAAAACAGCCCCAGTTCGGCAAGCAACAGCAAGAAAACCATTATTTGCCACTCAGCCGCTCGCCTTGACGGGCGCTACGTTTTCTCAACACGTCTCAATCTGTGAGCACCGGACTTCATGTAGACCCCGTCATCGTAGACATTCATGACTATTTTCGGTTCTGAATTGCCTGTTGTCGCCATCTACTACCTGGAACCATCGTCATTTGCAGGCGCGACGTCACAGGCGACACCCACCAGTTCGGCAAATTGTGATTCTCTTGTCACATTACCCCTCCCCCAGTTCACTGACATCAGTGTCCGACTGGGTCTCCACCATGAGAGCGAAATTCATCAATAAAGCAGTGTTCATACTTCGCGACAGCAATGGCGATCGCCGCGATAGTCGTTCACGCGTAAGACGGCGCCCCAACGCTATTACGTGGACCGCCAAGAAAAAACTTTACTCGAAAGAAACAGTATCCAAAAACAATATCCAAAAGACAATATCCACAGAAGCACAAACAATATGCAAAAGAAAGCGCAAACAGTTCAACACCGACAATTCTTAAGAGGCAGTGCTAATAGGCAGATTATTTGGTTCTCTGGAAAACGGGAGCAGGAGCAATGATTGGTACCACAGAAAAGCGAAACGGGACGAAATAGCCGAGAAAGCGCGGAACAGGACCCTTATTAAGCGCTCCAATCAGGAAATGTACGAGTCTACGGCCTCTAAATCACTAAGGGTCAGAAATCAATGTGGAAAAACTGCGCGATTGCGCTGGAAATATAAAAAAAGCATTAGTTCAATCGGTTGAAAATGTTCCTAATATGCCCTTTTCCAGTCAAGGACCCTATTGACGTTTTATTAAGTTGCTACCGCTTGAAACAATAGCTTTCATATTCCTTTGCAGTTCCTGTGATATCGCATTGATTTTTGACCAGGATTCTCCATCTCGGGCGTAGGCTCGTACACTTCCTGACTGGAGCGGTTAATAAGGGCCTTATTTTAGGAGTTTAAGGTTGTACTGCCCCGTTTTGCTTTACTGTCGTACTAATCAGTCCAACAGGAATTTTGCAAGAACTACAAAATAGACATTCATCAGAAGAAAGAAAGATCAAATAATGATCACAAGTACGGATGCCACCTCGGCCCCGTGGATTGAAGGCGAACTGATATCGTTTGATGCAAGTGTTTATTCGAACCAGAGTAGTGTCCGAAGACACCACTCTCTAGCTCACACTCGGGTTAGACTGACTCTTCTTCACTATAGTCGGCCCTTATATACGCGGCTCGAAGGGGCGTGACCGGAAGTGCTCGCTATTGGTCCGTTCAAATTGCTGACGTCACACTTGGCGGGAAACTAAGCGTCGATTGGCCGAGCGTCCGAGTCGTTATCGATTGATTCGGCTCACGTCCCTAGGAACTGAGAGTGATAAAGAACGAAGATAAAGAGATAACAAGAGTAAAAAAACTACAATATCATAATATGCCCCGCCACAACGAAGAGTCGTCCCGACTCCATGCCCGCGACTCAACGCATCTGCAACACGATTGGCAGCCCCTTTCAAGTAGACGATCTTGAGATTGTATTTTTGCAGTTCGAGCGCCCACCTGAGTACTCGTGCTGACACGTTTGTTCGTCTGAATAGAGCTGTCAAAGCTTGGTGGTCAGTATACACCTCAACTGGAAGCCCGTACACAAACATGTGAAACTTCCTCAGGGCAAAGACCACAGCCAAAGCTTCCAAGTCGGTGACATGATAGTTCTTTCTCACATCGAGACAGACCCTTCGACGCAAAGAACACTGGATGTAGAAATCCATCGTCACCTTCCTGACTCAATACAGCTCCCAGACCTTGGATACTTGCGTCAGTATGAATTTTGAACGGTCTTCTACCGCTCCTCGCCGCTTCAATATCAGGTTGCGCTAGCACTGGCGCCTGCATTATTATTGCCTTCAGCTTGTCAAAGCATGACTTTTTCATGGAATCCCATTCAAATGCCACTTTCTCGGACGTCATCTCATGGAGCGGAGCGGCTACCTTAGAGAATCCCAAAACGAACTTCCGGTAGTAAGAACACATACCGAGGAACGTTCGAAGGTCCGAGCGCGATTGGGGTAGCGGGTACCTTTAATCGCTTCCACCTTGGCTGGATCCATGTGCAACCCATCACAATCTATTACGTGGCCAAGGAACTCCACCTTCCTTTCCAGCAACACGCATTTTTTGGGTTCAACCTGAGTCGTGCTTTTAACAGTTGCTTGAAAACCAGTTCCAGAACTTGGAAATGCCTCTCTACCGTTTCTGTGGCTACCATGATGTCATCCAGGTAGCAGAAGACTTCATCTCCCAGTAGAGGCTCGAGAACCGCATGCATCATGCGTTGAAATACCGGAGGTGAAGATGCGAGCCCGAAAGGTAGTACCGGAATTGGTACAGACCTTCCGTTGTGGCAAACGCCGATTTCTCTTTTGCATCTTCAGATAGACTTATTTGCCAATAGCCTGATGACAAATCCAGGGTTGAAAAGTACCTTCGACCCTTTAAACTCTGCAGAATTGTATCAATCGTTGGCAGTGGGTAACTATCTATCCTTGTCACCTGGTTGAGCTTACGATAGTCTACGCAGAGTCGGAGTGTTCCGTCCTTCTTCTGAACCAAGACGATGGGTGAGGCCCAGCTCGATTTACTTGGTTCGATAATTTTCCGCTCATGCAAATCATTAAGAATCCGTCGGAGCTCCACGCGAGTAGCCAGTGGTATCGGGCGAGGCTTTTGTCGGATCGGTGGTGCCTCACCGGTGTCGATGTTGTGTTCCACCAGCGTTGTCTGGGTAAGCTCTTGCTCGCTCACCGCAAAGACTTGAGCGTAGCTCTTGACGAGATTATCAACTTCGTCGCTATTCTCCTGTTTGTCCTGTTGTCGCGGAGCAACTTCAAAAGTCTGTCTTCTCGGTCTGTAGGAGCTTCCACTGTGCGCCCCAACATGTCTCCCGAATACGTGACAGGCTTGACTTCAACGACTTTTGCGGGTTCGAGGATCCCACCTCCTCCCCTAGTCGGAAGATCTTTGCTCCTGCGAAGGTGTTTGTTACCGGC